ACCCGAACCCGAACCCGAACCCGAAACCCCCCCCCCCCCCAAGAACCCGGCCCCGCACCCGAACCCGAACCCGAACCGGAACCCCTCTCCCCCCCCCCCACAAAAAAGAAGCCCCCCCCACAAAAAAGAAGCCCAACCCCGAATACCCCCCCACAAAAACAATCCCGGAACCCGATCCCGGAACACGACCCTCCCCCCGCCACCCCCCCCCACGCGGCGGCCCGGCCCATGAGCCCAACCCAGAGCCCGAAACCCGAAACCCCTGAACCCAACCCGAATTTCACTACCTGAGCTTTCCGAACCCGGAGGCCCCGAACCGAAACCCGAACCCAAACCAGAAGAACCCGAATAGACCCGAACCCGAATACCCGAACCCGAAACCCGAAAACCCGAACCCAGGAACCGACCCGAACCTCCCCCCCCCCCAGCGGCCCGGCCAGAGTCCGAACCCGAAAACCGAACCGAACCCGCGAACCCGAACCGAAACCCGAACCCGCACCGAACCTCCCCCCCCCCCCCCACCAAGCGGCCCGGCCCATCCGAACCCGAACCAGAACCCGAAACCCGCACCGAACCGAACCGAACCCGAAACCGAACCCGAACCCGACCCGAGCCGAAACCCCGCCCCCCCCCCCACCAAGAACCCGGCCCCGAACCCGAACCCGAACCCCCCCCCGCCCGGGGCGGAGGTTAGGTTAGGGGTTAGCCGGGGTACACTCTGCCAAGAATAGTGAGATGATTCCTTAGGCTTCCTTGAACGGAACCCAGACTAGGTCCCTCAAAAACGACGCCTTGAGAATGTCGGCCGAGGCGAAGTTCGTAGCTTCTTCAGTGCTGCAGGGCCTGGCACATTTACACCAGCTCCGCATCATCCACAGGGATGCGCCTTGCTGATGCCAGAGCGGGTACGCCGACCGGCGCCAGTTGGGATGAATGAAATATTGTAGATACTCTTTGCTAAACTTGCCAACTGGTACGAAGTGGATGATGTTGTCCACAGTAGCAACGATAGTTGTTGGTGAAATTGAAGGGGAATAGTTGATTTTCTTTGAGTTTCCAGACCCCCTTAGAAAAGGGGGGCATGAAAATTTTGGTGACTTGCGGAGGGTTTGTCACAGAGAAACGACAGGACATCACTTGCTGAGGTGGTGCTGTTGTTGGGGTCCCATTATTTGGCTGTGGGTCAACAATATGTACCCAAAAGGGAATCCTGGTAAATGGAAACATGGACCAAAACCTGCGGTCCCCCGGTGGTTCAATTTTGACCCATGCCCATTTGGAGACAAGCGTAAACCACTCTTTTCTGGCGCCCTTGTAAGTCTGCGGCCCCGCAACACATCGCCCCGCGCGTGGGAGCTGACACTATAAGCGGCGATCTTGAGAATCGATGTCCAGTAACCTGCACAAAGACAATGGGGGACCAAACCAACCAAGGCCTCAGTTCTTCTTGTGCCGTTGACATATCACATACATTTTATATTTCTATATGTATGTGTATATTTCTCAGCCTCAGTTGGCCAAGGCACCTTTGTTTGTGTAACCGCCAGGGAGTTCCGAGTGTTAACCCCAACAAGGAGTGGCCCCCTGTTTCTCCTTTCTGGGTCTCTCCTCCAAATATAGTTCGTATATACGGATAGGCAAAGTTTGAAAGAGAGTCAGACTTGTTTTGCAAGTCCTTTGTTTTTGCTGGCCAAGACACAGGTGACGCCCTCCAACATCATGGTGGCGGATTGCGGGGAGCGCATCGTGCTGGGGGACTTGGGGCTCGCTGCCTTTCTGCCCGAGGGCTCGGACTTTGTGCTGGGCCGCTCCGGCACCCCAGGCTTTCTGGCGCCGGAGTGTTATGAGAACCTTGGTGCAACAAAGAGGGGGATGGGATGGGGATGCGTGGATAGGTGGATGGGTGGATGGATATGGATGGCTGGATGGAAGCTCACAGGGGGGGGTGAATTTGTTTTTCTTCGGGACCTACTCAGCATCCAGGGAAAAAGCGGCTCAGCAAACATGAAGGGGGCCAACCTAGTTAGTTAGTTGTTTGTTTCCATCCGCATTTAGATGTCTCAATCTGGGGCCATTTAGCTGTTGTTTCCGGAGTTTGCAACGACTGTCCTTGCTTCATGCCCATGACTCTTCGAAAGATTTGTCGCGAGCCCTGGTTGAGACCCTGAGCGATTTCTTCAACCAGGCGCATTGGGGGTGAGCTTAGGGCAGAGGGTGGAATCGTCTGAGCGCGATGCTTGTGGAAAATGATATTTTCTGCGAGGCCAAGGCAATCCTGGCAATGACCCGATCGCATGGGTTTTTCAAAACCCAGAAGCAGGTTCTCAGCGCTGACCAACTGGCAACCTTTTTTTAGTACCCATTGAGAGGTGGGGAGCTTAAGTGCCAAATAGCATAGCTTGGGACATGGAAAATGTTGTCTGAAGAAATTAGCCATCCGGACTCCCAAAACGCAGTCTAGGTAAGATGAATCTCCTTGGAAATGGGGATCCCCAATGTCCAAAGGCAACTTGAGCGATGTTCCGGGACTATGAATTGGGCCTGCCCCAAATCGGTGGTTTCCTTTGCGTTTCCTGCTCAACATTCAGAAAGGCATCCATACTTGCGCCGTTTTGGTTCCGGGCATTCTGGACGTGCTCTTTTGAAAGAGAATTTTTGGATGGAAAAGCAGTTCGGATTGCTTGGGCCAATCCACCTCCTGCGCTCGAACGTTTGGCAAAGTAAAGTGCTCGCTCTTCCCGCAAGTTCGAACAGCTTTTGCTGCTTGAAGGGGGGGAAAAACCAATTCACTGCTTCGCTTTTTCTTTTCCGACCAGGAGGAGCGTCCAGGGCTGCTGCAGCGACATCTTCTCCTTAGGCGGGGCTCTCTATATCTTCCTTTGTTATTTGAACATGCCTTTGGGCAGAACCAGCAGTGGGATTGTAGTCACATCGCTCACAGGCTGGTTCATTTGCGGAGCTACGGGGGACTTTCGGGTGGAACTGCTGCCCAGAGCTTCCTTTTCAGTTGAACCCTTACGGATGCGCCTTATTATAATTATTGCAAGTAAGTGGACACAGCCCCAAAATTCGGGGGGAAGGGGGGGGGGATGGGGGGAAGAGGGGGGGTCCTTGTGCCCTTCAAATATAGTAGGGGCCTCCGTACATCCGTAAGACGCATGTCTAGCGGGGCCCGGGGAGGCATCTTGGGTAACTTGCGCGAGGCGCAGTCCTCTACGAGTTGCTCTTTTCGGTGCCCGCCTTCAGGCGATCCTCCGGGGTGGCCCCTTGGATTTGAGAGATTTCCTCTTGGGTTCCCTCTGAAATCCATATTGCTGGCTTACGTCTGGATTTTTGTTCGAATCATTAAAATATGTTGTGTCCGTTGTAAGGGAAAGATTCGGAACGTGCGTGTGCAAGTTCGTGACCAAGTACCACTCGCAAAAAAGGCCACTCATACTCGCAGGGGTACACATCAACCCTTGCAATGATCATGTCATCGGTAAAGAAGATTTGGCATTGGGCATCCCCAGAGTTGCTCCGAGCGTTAAAACAATGACCACGTGTTTGTTGTTTGCACTTTGGATTTGCATGTGCCCTTGTTTGTTTCTCGGAACCCTGTGTTTGAGAGCCGCTTGTTTCCGTTGAGACTGCGTCCCCACTAAAATGGTCAACCCCGAAAGGCTTCTTGCCTGTTTCCACCTTTCGCATCACTGGTTGCAATTGGGTGAGTAGCCTTTTTTTGAGACCAGCTGGGTGCTAAATAAACAGCAACCATATTTTAGCATTTACCCAAAGGGAAACAAGAAGAAGATGGGTGGAGTATGTTAAACAAGTAGAGAACAGGCCCCCCCGCATGGAGCACACGAGGAGACGATCCTGGCTACAAAGCTGGGCCAACTCCCTTTGGAGCCCTGCGGTCTTGCGGTGGGCCGCAGCGACCAGTGCTGCCGCCTGCTCCGCAGGATGCTGGCCACGGAATCTTCGGCCGCGCTGCCCAATTGGCAACCCTTTTGGGTTCCCTGTTTGCGAGTGTCCCGTTCAATTTAATGATGCAACTGAAGAGAGGCGTGGAAGTCCCGCTTGTTGTGACCCATGTTCTAGGGTCTCCACAGAGGCAGGAAGGGACTTGGGATGTGTGTGTGTGTGTGGGTGTTTTCCCCGAAATCCCAAAGAAAATCAACCAATTCCAGGGTTCCGAATTGAAGGTCTATTTTCGAATGCCCGTTTTGGACCATGTTTTCCCAGGTCCCAGCATAAGAAGGATCAGCTTTAAATTCACCTTTGGTTCGAGGGTGACTAGGGAGATCACGGGGGTATTTGTTGAGTTTCCGGTTCGCCTCCTTTTGCGGTGCGTCTTATGGCTTCTTGTTTTGTTACCGTCGTTTGACTTTACCTGCTTGGCTTGGTCTCCTGTTTGTTTTGCCGCATTTTTCCCGGCCAGGAACGGCCCTCCGCCAGCGAGGCTTTAACCAGCCCTTGGCTGGAGTGCAAGGACGTGCCTTGGCGTCTAACGAAGTCAGCGCGAAGCCTTGGGGAGTTTTCGCCATGGCTAGCTTCAAGGCAAGCATTGGACGGCAAGAATAAGATGTTCATCGGGTTTGTTGGGGGGTGCTTGGGGGGCCTGTGTGTTTTTTCAGCTTTCTTTTTCATCGTGGCTTTTACCAGGTGAGAAGAGAAGGGTTGCAAGGTGAGAAGAAGAAAAAGGGACAAGAACAAAGGTCACGGTGAAAAGAAAAGGATCCAAGGTAAAAAGAAGACATGAATGGACGGACGGACGGATGGATGGATTCTGGGGCGACCTGCACGGCTCTGCGCCCGAACCCAGCGCTGTTCGAATCCTTGTGGGGCACAGCAAGCCCACGCAATTCATTGGAAAGGCCTAGGAAACCTCCAGGCGATTTTCTGGGCTCAAACATGGTTGAACCCTCCAGCTCCTGGACGCGAGGGGGCCGAAGGAAAACCGCAAAAGCTGGCAGCGCAGCTTGCAGCAACTAGGCTTCAGCTTTGCTCCGTTTCCCAGCAAAACATGTGGCGCCGCCGCCTTACACCAACCTCAAGGGGGTTGTGGCCAGGTTGGAACTTATGGGTGACGACGTTGGGGATTTTGAAGGTGAGGTGACATGGCAGGAAGCACATTCGGGATTTGGAGGGTGACGGGATTTCGTGAGAGGGTGGGCTGTTCAACCTGCAGAGAGGCATCCTCATATTACACAGCCTGCATTCAGTATGGAAATGTGTCAGATCCAGGAACCTTTTTCGCAAATGGTATCAAAAGAAACCAAACTGAACCGACCACAACTTTTCACACACACACACACACACTGCCATGCGCTTTTCCTTTTGCATTTTCGTCAACTCTGCGACCGCTAAAGAGTGTGGTTGTCATGGTTCCCGTCTTTTGCCCTCTGGGCATTGGCCTCAAAATCGGCCCTCAAAATTGCAATCTCGTCCTTCACAATTCGCAATGTCACCTTCAAAATCCCCGATATCTCCATCCTCGAATGTCAAAATCCCCAATGTCGCCTGCAAAGCCCCCACCATCACCACCCAAACACAAATGTCGTTTTTGGTTTTCGTGTAGAAACTAGCTCTTGCGATTCCTGGTTGGCCTATAGTTACTTGTCCATCTATCTTCAAAAGGACACGACCAAGGTCACCGAAAGTTGCGCCGAGGAGACGTTGAACAACATGGTGATCACCTGCACCACCCGCACGCACACGAGGTCGTCGCACCGCTGGGCCTCAGAAGAGACGTCCTACGAGCAGGCGGGCTTCCTCCAACATGGAACCTGACAGGTCCGTCCAAAAGATAAAAGGAAACCACAAGCCTTCCGTTAGTGGGAGGGAGGGCAACCAACTAGTCTGAAACAACAAGCGTGGCCAATGCAGTGCTGAAACACATACTGCTTGCCATAGGTTCGTATGTTTGGGGGACAAACTTTGGCACCCAAGGCACCTTGCGCCACACAATTCTTTGCGCCAAGCAATCGGGGATGTCAGGCACTCCTGCTTGGCCCATGCAATCGAGGGACTCCTTTTCTGCTAGTCAGGTCCAATTGGTTCGAGCATGTTCTGAATAGCTAGCGCGTACAGGAATGGTTTGCCCGTTTTGTCGGCAAGTTTTTTTTTTTTTTCTCGTGTGTTGGACTGTCGGCTACTGAAATGGTTGAGGGAGGAAGCTTGTTGGCTTCCCCAAAACTATGGCCCACGGGCCTGAAGACGCGGTTTTTGTGGGGTCTCATGCCCCAAAGCCGTTCCTGAAACAACCCACCGGGAGGAACTGTCTGCCCCTCACTTCCAGCAACTCTCTGGGCCTTTTTAACACTCGGACCCCCTCCCCTTTATTAAAACAAAAAAAGGTAAGAGCCCCCCGCCAGGTTATGTTTTTTTCCGGTTGGGTCCGTGGGTGTTTGGTTTCAGGGGGCCCCCAACAATTTGTTGGTTCTATTCTGGTTTCCTTAGAGCCACCAAGAAGGGTACCCTGCAAAGTTTAAGCAAGGACACACTGAATTGGAATGTCCCAAGAGTATCAAAACGTGGTTTTTGCACCGCAGGCGCCGAAGCCCAAGACAAAAGGACGCATCACGTCCGCAGCGAGAGGTGCCCGAGTGGCAGTCGCATCAGCTCTTGGGGCCTCGGCCCAGCGCGCGCGGCGATTCTTGGGAATAAAAGCTTCCAAGGTGGAGCGATTTCATGGCGTCATGGGGTGATGCCAAGAAGTGGGGGGCAGGGCCAAAAAGCCGCGAGTGTGATCAACTGCCGTGCACAGTGTAGATCAGAACTTTTTGAACGATTTGCTGCCAGGGCTGCAAGCTACAACATGTACCACCAAGGCCCGAGCAGAACAGTTTTGTGACCGAGCCTTGCAAGCCAGCGCTTGCAGCGTTTTTTGTTTTTCGATGACTCCCTCCCAATTGCAGGACCTCAGTCAAAGGCCCTTCAGTTGAGGATGATGGCTTCCTTGCCTACATCAAGGCTGCCGCACATGCATTCGCACACGTTAACAGGGCGAGGGCCGGCCCCTCATCCCCTGTATCAATCATTGTTTACTGGGACGTGGTTCACGTCCCCCTGGCTGCCTGGCTGGAACTGCTGAACTTGCTTACAATCAATGCTTTATCCTACCAGGTCACGATTTCCCTCGTAGCATCCCACGGATTATGAAATAGGAGGGATCCTGCAGGTCCGGGCTTCAGGCATATCGCGCTTCTGATTGAGAGAGCGCGTTCTGGATTGTCCTGTTGTTGAGCTTGAGGGTGAGACAAGGGCAGAAAGATTCTCAGAACCTTCTGTCTTTTCCTGCGGGGAGCCTTTGGTTTCCTCTCTTTTTAATTTTGTTTCAGACTCCTGCTGGAACGTGTGTTTGACAGCGGGTTGAAAGACCAAAGCGGTACTGGGCGACCTGTGTACCTGGCTGTGTGCTTCCCAACCCACCCTGAGTGGAACAGGTGCTTGAAGAGGGGGAAGCAAAGAACCCTTGCGCAAGGATAAGAATCAGTGCTAGTTTTGGAGTGATCTGTGAAACGGCCAAGCTTGTGTGCTTGGACTGCAGAAAGCCTGCCGCAACTTGTAAAATCCCGTTGATGAGTAAAATTCCCGAGCCTTGTGGCAAAATAGATGGCCCCCCTTTTGGTTAGTGTTCTCAGGTGCCAAAACTGTGCCTTGGCAACATGGAGCTCATGCGCAGAGAGAATGAGCCGACATACCATTTGTTGATTCGTTGGCCGAAGCCGTATCTCCGACGAGAGGCTTGCAGAAGTCCAAGCAAGCCGATTGAAGGGAAGACGATCGGTGCTGCTATCGCGGTCGTACTGTCCGATTCCTGAATAGCACCCGAGCCTGTACAAGCGGTAAAACTCCATTCATTTCGGACAAGTCCATGGTGGTCATTCGCACAACCAGAGTTGGCCATGGGTTCACAAACCTCATTGCGCCGCCTCCCAACAGGTGATCAGCCGTATCGCGGCTCTACAGCGTAATCGCTGCTCATCGACGAAAACGACGAGCAAGCGGCGCCATGCAGAAGGCAACAGTGCTGCTACATTTGGTCACGACACATTGGGAAGCTCGGGAAACATGCTGGCCGCCCCGGCCATTGCGGATTCTCCTGATGGCAAAACGCAAGCGCAAGTTCCACACAAAGCCAAGACAGATCCATGTCATCATGCACACGCAAAGGACGTTAAATTTGGGAAAAGTGGCAGAAGATTGTCTAGGTGTGTTGAGCCCCAGGAAGGACAGGTAGAAGCCCCCCCAAGCCCAAGGAAGGCGAGGTGCCTGAAGAAGCAAGTGCATATGGCTGTGCACCGTCAACGTGCTCAACCACAACTACGACAAGAAGCCGGGACCTTGCAATCAGCCAGTCGCTCATATTGGTCAGAGGTTCAACCAAGTTATGGAATTGGCAAAAAAGCCGGTAGGGAGGACGACAAGCCTTCCTAATCGCTCAAGCTGCAGGCAAATCACTTCGGGAATTTGTTTGCCGAAAAGAACGAGGAAGCGAGGAACACCAAAAACTGGCGTGAAAGCGAAGTCAAAAGTTTGACATGGACAATCAACGGACTTCATGAGTCGCTGCATCGAGAAGAGGACACGGCAAAATCGCCAAGATGCCATGCGGAGAAGCAGGTCATCATGATATCACTTTTAGCACCCCACGCCCATCGCCATCTAACCTGAAGGGCCTCTTGACACAGCTGCGACAAGGGCGAATGATGCTGTTTTGTTTGCACGTCAGGCAGCGAACAGGGCCAAGGTTTTGCTGGACGAACGCAACCAAATCTTGGCGAATGGCAAGGCCTCTATTCAAGCGCATCGGGAACGAGCTGCCGAAGACAGTCAGGCTGCCCTGTTTTTCAACGGTTGGCAAAACGGACGACAACTCCGTGATGACACGAATGGTAAACAATATTGGACAGCGAAAGTAATCGAAGCCAATACGCTCATCAGCTGGATGCCCAAAACGAAAAGCTGTAGAACGAGACTATGATTGCGGTGGACTCAGGTTCCACCAACAAGAAACCCAAGTCAGTCAGCCAGAAAACTAAAAAAGACCGCTGAACGAGGACAAGATCTACTTCGCGGGGAGGTAGTAGAAGGCGGCAAACGAAACACCCAAACAGAACTCTAGGCAGGATGAAGAAGAGGAAGAGCCTGAAGATGATGAAGGGAATAGAAGTCGTATGAACTTGAGAGGACGAGGGTAGCACAAAGCCTTGGACAGCGCGGGCGACGGTATCATTCATGAACACCTCGACCTCGGTAAACTTTCTATCTCTGGTGACAACAGGTTTGCTACTCTCCACATCAAGCCAGCTCTGCCTCTTGGCAATGCTGCGGAACGCCCAGACGATGTCAAGGACGTATGGTTGGACGCAACTTGTCATGCTGAACAGGCGAGGAAAGCTCATCAAAGGACGTGAGATTGGCGGCGATAAGATTGAAGTCGTTTTGCCAAGTGATAGGTCTGACTTGGGGTTCACGGTCGAGCGAATCACTGGACCAATTTATTCGGTGGCAAGAACCTTTCCGTGTTCAGAAGCCAATGGTATGATATATGGAATGCACGTCTGTGTTCAGATACCATTGTTAAAAGCCTGTTGATCTCATTGCACTAAAATGAGTAAAATGGCGGATGGATACAGGCTGGAGACATGATCTAATCGGGCGAGCCAAAGCGAAGTGCTTGGGGCCCAAGCCATCGACGCGATCGTGTGCCTGACGGCAAATGGCAGCGCATCCACGCCCGGCTTGATGAAGAACTCTGTAAAGGAGATCAACGAGATTGTGGAACCCTTTGTCCTGGATCAATGGCAATGTTCCACTCGTGGTGACACCGGGCGGGACCATTGCACCCCATCAACACTGTCCAGATCATGATGATGTACTTCTAAGCACGATAGTGGGCTGTAAGGATGAAAGTGTGCACAATGCCATGGGAGGAGAAGACGTTGAAGAAGCCGAAGCTGCGCCATCCACCGTCTTCTTGGGCAGTGGGTGGCGGAGTGCTCATTGCGTAAATTGGTTGTGAGCCCGACAGCCGTCCCTTGGGCCGCGACATCAAGGACGATAGCATCCGCAGTTGGCTGACGAGGAGGTTCATAGCCTCACGAGGCTCATAGCCTCACTCAAACACTCCATTGCGGACCTATACCCAACCGGATAGGAGAACCCACATGCTCTTGAACGGCTTGGTTCATTGCATGAGGTCTTGACTTCCTCACCGCCAACAGAGACTCTGGAATCAAATGACTTTGTGAAACGTTGGCTTTTTTTGGAGCTCGGCCAAAGCGATCGGGCATTGCACATGTAATGCAAATGCAATGCGCAAACAAAGTGGTGCTGGTGCAATGCCAGAGCAGTGCAAGAAAAATAGGAATGTCAAAGCGCGAGGCTGCAAGGAAGGGAGCGCGCGCTGAAGCCTGAGATACCTGGCACGCTGCCTTGCGGGTCCAGAAAAAGTAGAACTGTGAGTGAGGTCGGGGTGAGCCCCCGTCACACTTGGCGCCGCTTCACACGTCAACCAGGTACCCCAATCTTTGACCAGCCTCCGCGTAGACCTCGCGATTCTGCACGGGCAGCAAGTTGAGGTCGATTGCTCTGGCCGGTTAGCGCAGGAAACGTTCTCGCCGATCCAGGCTATGTACACATGAAGAACAGGCCGTGACATGTCAGTAGGCACGAGGACTCCTCAGATCATCGACGAGCACGACGCAGCTTAACATCCTGAATGGACCACGGCGAAACATGAATGCTGCGTTCACTGGGAGGCCTCGTACATTGGTGCTTGAGGAAGGACGCCATTGCATTACGTGAAGATGACCTAGACGGAGCATTCAAGGACCGCTCGGCGAGAGTTGCAATCGCAGATGGCCACATGGCACATGATAAGACTTGCAGCAATGTTTGCGCGGGTATTCTTCGGCTGGACAATGGCACATAGGGGTTGGGTTTTTTAAACTGATTATGTTCCAGTGTGGTCGATGGTCGGCTGGTCCCACACCTTAATGACTGGACGAGTTACTTTGGCTTTTCACTCACTTGCTGAAAATGCACCATATTACCACCAACCCATGTCTTGGTGTCATACTTCAGGCCATGATCAAATCATCATGAAATCATGCAAATCAGTTGTAGTCTCAGTGAGTTCCTGAGAATCGTGTAGGCGCAGACCTTTCATAGCATGACACAAGCGACCCTTGAAGTGCGATGTTAGAACCAGATGATGAGCCTTTGCCCATAATGGGGGATGTCGTGAATTCCCGAGCCTCGGGCCAAGACACGGTCATGTTCCAACAGTCCCCTTGTGTCTTGGCAAAAGGGAGCGCAAGCACAGCGCAAGCACACATGTCCGGTCAGAATGAGCCGACACGCTATTGGCGCAAGCCGTATCTCCGAGAAGAGACTTGCAGTGAAGCAGTGAAGCATTGAGGTCTAAACAGCCCGAGTGAGGGAAGCCACTCGTTGCTTGCTGCTATAGCGGTCGCACTGTCTTATTCTGAATAGCCTCCAAGCGCTCACAAGCTGTACAAACCCCATTCAATTCGGACAAGTCCTTGGTTGTCATTGGGGGGCTATTGCTTGTTTATCGCGTAAAAGATGCACCACCTCCCGAAAACAGTGGGCGTGGGGGTTGTCTGAATTATCCAGCTTTCCCCAACCCGTAGGAAAACCACATAGCCCATGGAAAACGCATAGAGAACAGAGGCTCCAAGGGTTGGAAAGCACCAGCAGCGTTGCACGCGTGAGTGTTCGAGTGCTACCCAAAACAAGCAAGCTGAGAAAAGCGCGAGTGAGATGCAAAGCAGATGTGCTTGTGATTGTTGCCGGCGCTGGTGTTTGGAAAGTCTGATGGACAGAATCCTACACCAGTTGCTCGGTGACAGAAACCTGGAAGCAACGTTGGAGCGGCAAAACGTCGCGAATGCAACCGCCCGCGGTGCGCATTGTAGATCGGACTTGTTCGAGGGGAGCTGAAGTGCAACATGGAGCCTACCCTTCGAGTTTCTGATTGGCGCTAGGGCTGCAGCAATTGCCGTTATGGTCGAGGAATGGGATTGGGTCCCGGCCGCTCCTCCCCTTGTGTCAATCAGTGTCCGTAC